GTATGGGTTGCTCGCCACTTGAGCCTTGCGGGGGGGGAGGGAGGGAGGGAGGAGGAGGAGGAGGAGGAGGAGAAGGAGGAGGAGGAGAGGGTAGGGGGGAATTTGGCGGTGGGGGGACTTGGGGGATCGAAACTGAACAAGCGGCATGAACATTCAGTTTCGATGGTCCGCACGGATGTTTTGGATTTGCGCTGGCCCCCCTCCTGGCGGCGTTTCCGGCGCCGCCCCTGGCGCGTTCCGCGCGCCAGGGACGGGGTCCCGCGCAGCTCCCGCAAAATCCGCGCGGGCCGTCGAAAGTTTGATGTTTATGTTGTTCATCCTTATCCCTTGCAGTGGAGGTAGGAGGCAAACATGGGAGGAAAGGGAGGATGGAGGATGGAGGTGAGGGGGAGAGGAGGAGGAGGAGGACAAGGATGGAGGAGGTAGGAGGAGAAGAGGAAGGGATGAGATGAAGAGGAGCACCCGAGAGGAAAGGGGTAGAGGGGACCCCACCCGCGCCTCACTCACCCACGCCCGCCCCGCTCGAGTCGGCCTCGCACGCCCGGGTCCCGAGGAGGCAGGAGCTGGTGGAGCGGGCGGGGAGGAGAGGAGGATGAGGAGGAGGAGGAGGAGGGGAGAGGAGAAGGATGAGGAGGAGTACGAGAGGAGGTAAGGAGGGAGGGGAGGCAGGAGACGAGGAGGAGGAGGAAAAGGGTAGTGACGTGTGAGCAGGGAGGAGAGGAGGAGAGGAGGGGAGGGCCCTCCTCCCATTCTTTCTGACAGCTCCGCCCGTACCGTCCTTTTCGAGCGCCCCTGTTTCCTGCGCACTTTTCCCGAGCGACCTTCCCCCGGCGCCCCCTCCTCGCCCGAGCGGCCTCGCACGCCAGGGCCCCGAGGAATCAGGAGCAGGTCGATCGTGGTGGAGGCTGCGTGCGGCGCACGTGGCGGGGCCCTGGGAAAAGGAAGATGAGGAGGAAAAAGGGAGCAGGGGATGGAGGGGGAGGAAAGGGGAGGAGGGGAGGAGAAGAAAGGAAGGAGGAGTAGGAGGAGGAGGAGGAGGAGGAGGAAGAGGGGGAGGAGGATGATGATGAGGAGCAGGTGATGATGATGATGATGTTGCTGATGAGGTTGGCGGTGATGATGGTGGTACTGTCGATGATGTGTTGATGATGATGATGATGATGATGATGATGATGATGATGATGATGATGATGATGATGATGGTCATGACTGTCATCATTACGACGGTACTGGTGACACTGTGAATGAGTATACTTGTGATGGTGGTGGTGTTGGTGGTCGGTGATGATATTGATGATGATGGTCATAATGATGATCACGTTAACAACGATACGGATGATAAAAAGGAGGAATGCGCATGACGATGCTGAAGGTGGCGGTGGTGGTGATGATGACGAGAATGTCGATGATGACGGCGACGATGAATCGCTGTCGGTGGTGCTGCTGGCGATGATGATGGTGATCGTTGTGGTGGCGGTGGTGCGGAGGAGGAGGAGGAGGAGGAGGACGAGGAGGAGAAGGAGGAGGCAGCAGGATGATGAGCAGCAGGGATGGGTAACACAAGGAAGACAAAGAGGCGGGATGAGGAAGGGAGGGAGGGGGGATGAGGAGCAGCAGCAGCAGGGAGGAAGAGGAGGACGAAGAGCAAGGATGGAAAGCGGGATGATGAAGATGAGGAGGAGGAGGACGAGGAGTAGGACGAGGAGGAGGAGGAGGACGAGGAGGAGGAGCAGGATAAACAGCCAGAGGCAGTGCGGAAGGCCGCCCCCGATTCCCCCTTGTCTTCCTCCCCTTGCTCTTCTCTTAGCCTTACTCCTCATCCTCGTCCTCACGTGCTTCCTTTTCCTTCTGGCGGACATGAAGCGCCGCCGGGAGCTCGACGGGAGGCGGCGGAAGGAACGTCGAGGCATCCGCTTTCTTGGGACTCGGGGGCTCCAGCGTCGGCCATATGTGCAGGAGGGTGCGAGGGATGGCGCTGAAGAGGCGCAATGTATTCCGAATCCAGTCCTATCCTGCTGCTGCGCCTGCTTTCGGCTCTGGAGACGGGGAGGAGGAGGAGGAGGAGGAGGAGGAGGAGGAGGAGAAGGAGGCGGTGGTAGGAGAGGAGGAGGGGATAGTAGGGACGGAATTGAAAGAGAGCAGGGAGGGGGCTAGCCTACGTAGGTGCACCGTGAAAACAGGATGGTAGGGAGGGATGGAGAGAGGGAGGAGAGGAATGGGAAAAAGATAAGGTGGATGTGGATGACGGGGGAAGGAGGAGAAATGATGACGACAAGGACCATGATGATGGGGATGATGATGAGGTTGATGACGATGCTGTCGAGCGTGTCAATGATGGCGCTGACGATGGTGTCGATGATGGTCTTTTCTTTTGAAGTTGAATGCCTTTCGAGTTTCGAGGGGGAGGGGAGAGGCCGAATGCATGCATACCCTAGCCTTCGGCTCTCGAGCGGAGTGCTGCGGCGGGCCGCGGTGCGTGGCTTGGCTGGGACTCCCAGAGGGCTTGCTGAGGGCCCTGGGCCGCTGGGGCGTGCCGGCGCTGCAGGCCTGGGTCGCTCGCTGCCCCGTGATCGAGGTCCCGCCCTGCCCCGCGTGCCCGGCCTGCCCGCCGTGCCCTGGGACCACCGTGGGCGCGCGACCTCGGGCGCTGTGGCCCTCGCCTGCCTGCCCGCGGGCGTGGCTGGCGCTTCCCTCGGCGCCTTGGGCGCGATCGCTGTTCTGCGGGTGTGGGGCCCGCTCCGTTTCACAGCTGAAGCGCGGGGCGCGGTCCCGCCGGCTCCGAGCGCGGCTCCTCCGCGCCTAGCGCTGGCGGCGACTGTCGATGTCGGAGGCGTGGGCGTGGGTGCTCTACAACGTGGCCGGCGCGCCGCTCTTCCACCAGAAGAGAGTTGCGGGTCAATTGGCACTCACGGATGATGTGATCATAGTGGCGCCTGACGACATGGTCTACGCGGAGCGCTTGCTGGCAGCCCGGGCCGACTTAGCAGCGGTGCGTTTCGCGGCAGCCCGCTGGCCGCTCGCGCCCCGTTGGCAGCCCGCGAGGCAGCCTGGCTGGCGGCGGCGACCGCCGAGGCCGACGTCGAATTCTCCCGCCGCCACCCTGGAGTGCCCCCCCCCTGCCTGGCGGCACGCTCATCCCCATGAGTGGCGGGCTGATGCCAGGATGGGCCCCCCCTGCTGCCGCTGAAGGGGCGGGCGTTGGTGGGAGCCGCCGCTGGCCCGGGCGGTGATGCCGCCGCGTTGGCCGCCGCGGGGCTCCCGCCGGCGGCTGTGGGCGCTGCTGGGCCGCCGCCGCCCGCCGCGCTGCCGCCTGGCCCGCTGGTCGCCCCTGCTGCGGGGGCTCCCATCGCAGCGGGAGCTCCGCCCGCCGTCGGTGCGCCGCCTGGGCCGGGCTGGGAGGACGACGGCGGCCCCCCGCTCGGGGCCAACGGAGAGGCGCCAGCAGGCTAGGCCTGGGTGTTGGCCGAGGACGTGGACGCCTTCCCCTTCGGCTCGGTGGTGCAGGTCGGGCCGATCTCGGGCATCGTGCTGGCGTCGCGGGCTGGCAGGCGCGGGGTCGTCACGCTCGGCGCGGGGGTGTCGGCCATGGCTTTCATCCTGGAAGATTGGAGGCGGGCTGACTTCTCTGCGAAGTGGCGGGGGTCCGATCCGCGGACGTCGGCGCGCATCGCGGGCAGCAGTGGACCTCGCAGCTGGCTCACGGTGACCGAGACGTCGAAGGAGATGGCCGACCCCATTTCGTGCTGCAGCCGCTCTCGGCCGCCTGGTTCGTGGCTGGGCTGCTCCGCGAGGGCGGGCCGATTCAGCATCGCGAGAACTGGAAGGCACGCAAGCGGCTCAGCACCTCGGACTACGGGGTCGCCGAGCACCACACTCTGAGCACGGTGCTGGAGGACCTAGCGACGATCGGCGAGGTCAATGTGTCGAGCCTCGTCGGAACGGAGCGCCTGCTCAGGAAGATGCAGCTCATCGAGCACTTCTGGTAGGAGAAGCAGGGGGGGCAAGGTCACCAAGCAGAAGTTGCCCGAGGAGGAGATCAGCGCGTTCATAGGGCCACGGGGGCATTCTACAGTTTCCTGCCAGCAGCCCATCGCTGGCTCAAGGCGCCGACCCATCCGAACGCGCCGCTCTTCCCGATCACCCCCGCGCAGGCCGGCACCTTCTTCGAGCAGGCGGCGGCCGACGTCGGCGTTGCGACGCTGGCGCCGCAGCTGCGCCAGCTCAGGCACGCGGGGCCGTCGGTCGAGCTGGCCATGAAGCTGCGGACCCTGGCCAGCGTCAAGCTGCGCGGCGGCTGGAGGGCTGGCGCCTCGGTCGCCCGGTACCTGAAGCTTGGGCGCGTGAGCGAGCAGCTGCAGGGGCTGGGCCCCGCGGTGCAGCGCGCGGCCCTGCTGGCCCCCGCTCGGCTGGCCTCGCTCCTCAGCTGGCGCTGGGCCGCGGCGCAGACGCTTCCTGGCGCCTCCCATCTTCGTGGAGGTGTTCTCGGGCGAGGGCGTGCTCGCGGCTGCCCCGCGCAGAGAGGGCCCCCTGGTCATCGAGTTGGACGTCGCCTGGGGGCCCGACTGGGATCTGACGGTCCCGAAGGTGGCACGGCTGCTGCGCGGCTGGCTGGGCGCGGGGCCTATCTGGGGCATGCACTTCTGGGTGCCCTGCCAGACGTGGACCAGGATCAGGACACTGGACCTCTTCGCGCACCAGGCGAGCCCGGGCCCTGGCCCAGTCGTTTGAGATCTGACGACGAGCGGCCCAGTCGTCCAGGCGAGCCCAGTCGTCGGGCCTGGCGGCCGCGACGCACCCAGCCGACCGCGGTCAGATTGTGTTGGCGAACAAGCGGGTGAGGTTGTGTGAAAGCCTTTGGTCTGGTTGTCGGCGCGTGCAGATTCCTTTCGCAACCGATAACCCTGCGATGTCTAGGCTTTGGCTCATTCCGTCGCTCCAGCTGCTTCGGAAGCAAGCGCGTGTCTCTTGGGCTGTCACTCAGTACTGTCAAGACGGGCCCCCTAGGAAGAAGCCCACGGGTCTCTTGGAGTTCCGCGTAGGCGTTGCAGCGTTTGCTCGTCTTTGTAAGGGCTCACGCACTTGTTGTAGCAGGACTGGCGATCACCATCAGATTCTGAAGGGTAGAGCTCCGGGGGGCCCTCTGTGGACTCTTGTGGCACAGCCTTACCCCAAATCGCTCGCCGCATCTCGCCGCGAGATGGGCGAGACTTTTTGCCAGCGCACGTTTGCAGTCTGAAACTTTATCCGTCTCGCAATTGTGGCTCGGCTGCTGACTAGAGGGGAGGAGCCCTCCAGAATGTTCGGGAAGGTTTGGCCGCGGGGCCATTCGTCAGAGTTGAATTCGGTTATTGACTGTTTTCTGTCCGGGCCCCAGTGCGCGCGCGGTGCGGCCTTTCGCTTTCGAATGCAATCCGACGCGGGCCTCGGAGAAACCATCGTACGGGCATGAGTATGATAAGGATGCTGATGGTGATGATGATAATTGTGATGCCGATGATGATGTGATGATGATGACGATGGTGATGGTAGCATTTGCGATGTCGACGATGCTGCCGAGGATTGTTGTGTCGATCGTGCCGATGAAAATGTTGGTGGTCACAATTGTAGTGACGACGACGACTCCTGTGATGATGATGATGATGATGATGATGGTAGCAGTTGCGATGCCGATAATGATGGTGACGATGGTTGTGTTGATCGTGCCGGTGGGGACCTCATAAGTATCACTCGTGACGGTGATGGCGACGACGATGATGAGGATGAAAATCGTGATCATGCTGATGATGGTGACGATGATGATGGTTGTGGTGGTGCTGGTGATGGTGATGGTGGTGATGATGGTGATGACGATGCTGATGCGGATGATGATGCTAACGATGATGGTGCTGATGGTGACGATGATGACGATGATGCTGCCGGTAACGGCGGTTGTGATGATGATGAAGACCATGATGACGATGATGACGCTGCTAGCGATGATGGTGTTGGTACGAGGAGGATTATGATGAAATGGATGACGAGGAGGAGGATGGTCACGATGACAACTAGGTTGACCCAGGATGTGCTGATGTTGTTGATGTTGATGTTCATGACGGTTACGATCAGGCTGTTTTTACCTAGCAGCTCTTGCTGATAGGTTTCTAGTGGTCTCAAAAGAGAGCATCATGACTCCTCAGGGGGGTCTGGGCGGGACCCGGAACGGCTGCCGCCGAAGCCGAAATCGCTTGGGACATCCTCTTTGGTGCTCCCAGAACTCCATTCCCGGGCCACATTTTGGATGCCCGGAGCCAACTGTAGAGCGGATTTCGCTCGGAAAATCATGGGATGGGCTCGGACTGTCTTCGAGAATGTTCCGTTCCGGATTTCGAGGTGCATTTCGTGCCGGTTTTATGGGGGCCAGAAATGAAGACCACAAAAAGTCCGTGTGGAATGTCGCAGCCGTTTTGGCTCGAGCCATTCCAGCTCAGGTGGTCGACGGCCACCCGCGGCGGAGTGCCCCCTCGCGGCCCGTCCCGCGGCGGTGCCCGGCGCGCGCGCGGCGCTCCATGGCGAGCCTGGACGAGCGCGCCCTGGAGACCGCTCTCGCGGGCCTGCGCGAGGAGCTGCGGGGCGGTCTGGACCGCCTGGAGAGGCTCCTGCGCGAGGAGCTGCGCCCGCCGGAGCGGCTGCCGGAGCGGCTGCCGGAGCAGCTGCCCGCCTCGCCGGGGGGGCGGCGGGGGTCTTCGTCGTCGGGGACCCAGAGCGGCCCAAGTGAGAAGACGTGCGCGGCCGCGGGGCCATGGACCGAGAGTAAGATTAGCGACTGGGCGGGTCGCGGCGGCAGAGGCAGGGCTCGGCGGAGGAACAGAGACGTACCCGAGCCCGAGCCAGAGCTCCCAGAGCCGCGGCTGGCGTCGTGGAGGTTGATACATCGCCACGAGACTGCATTCGACACCGTCATCGGCCTGATCATCGTCTTGAATTCCCTAATGCTGGGGGTGGAGATTCAGTGTGATCTGGATGGCAATGCAGCCTGCACGCAGAGGGCCCATGATCTGGAGCATATTTTCCTGTCGATCTTCACAGTGGAGCTGGTCATCCGCGTACTTGCTGACGGCTGGAACAATTTCCGCAGCAGGTGGTTCCTATTCGACCTCAGTTTGGTTATGATGGGAGTGTTTTCCACCTGGGTGGTACATCCCATTGTGGAAAATACCTCGGACGACGCTCCAGGACGACTGTTGCTCGACATTGTGTCCAAGGTTCTAGTGATGCGGATACTGCGACTCACCCGCCTCGTGCGCGCTCTGCGCATCTTCGAGCAGTTTCAGGAGATGTGGAAGCTTGCGAATGGCCTCCTGCGCTCGTTCCGGACTGTTATGTCCGCCTGCATCATGATATTATTGACGGTATTCGTGTTTGCTTGTCTCGGCGTTGAGCTGATCTTTCAGGATTCTTCCTTGATGGGAGATCCAGTGACCGCAGAGGTTATCCAGGATCATTTCCGATCTCTGCCGGTAGCGATGTTCACCTTGGTTCAGTTCGCAACCGCAGACTCCATTGCAAGCGTGTACATGCCTATCGTGACTAAGGCATGGTATATGGGAGTCTATTTTGGATTTGTCTGGCTCATCGTGACTATCAAGCTGATGAACTTGATTACTGCTGTCATTGTGGACAACGCCATCACACAAGCCGACGAAGATCGAGAGATGGACCTGGTTCTTAGGCGAGGCGAGTTGAGGCTTCTTGAACCTACGGTCAAACGTGTCTTTGAGAGACTCAACAAGACGCCCGGAACGAAGAGCCTCAGCTTGGAGGACTTCAGGTCTGAATTGGAAAAGATCATGCAGGCGCCCGTTTTGAGAGATTTAGATTTGCCGCCAGAGCTCAGGAAGGTTTTAGCTTCGGGCCAGATCGTAGACGTCTGCAGTTATCTCGACGCCGATCGCTCGGGCGAGATCGACGAAGACGAGTTCGTGGACGGCATCTTCAACTTGATGCTCCAGTCCGTCCCCGTCGAGACCACCCAGATGCTCCAGATGCTGCGCTCACAGGTCGGCGGCGAGCGAGGGGGGGAATTGAGAAGGGGCGGGCCTTCTCAGAAGTCTCGGAAGTTCCGCGGCCTTCTGAGAAGTTTCCTGAGCCTTTCCCGGAGACAGAGAAAATTCTAGACGCTTCGCGTCTCCCCACCAGCCCGTCCAGAAATGAGTCCCAGGGGAGTGGAGGTTATGGGGGAAGCGGGGGAGCATGCAGAAGAACACAGGGCGGGGTCAGCCGCCATATACCCCAAGAGGGGGAGGATGTAAGAGGAGCCGTCGTCGTCGGAGTAGGAGGAGGAAGAGGAAGAGCAGGAGGAGGAGCAGGAGCAGGAGGGGGAGGAGGAGGAGGAGGACGAGGACGAGGAGGAGGAGGAGGAGGACGAGGAGGAGATGGAGGACTGCGAGGGCGAGGAGGACGAGAAGGAGGAAAAGGAGAAGGAGGAGGAGGAGGAGGAGGAGGAGGAGGGGGAGGGAGAGGAGGGAGGAGGAAGAAAAAGAGGAGGAGGAGGACAATGGCGAGCTTGGGGGCCTCTTGGGCCGTCTTTGGGGCCTCTTGGCGGTCCAGGGGGCCTCTTGCGTATATCGGGGGGCTTCTTGTGGCCTCTTGGGGGTCTCTTGGGGGCCTCTTGGAGGCCTCTTGGGGGCCTCTTGGGGCCTCTTGGGGCCCTCTTGGGGCGCTCTTGGGGCGCTCTTGGGAGCCTTCGGGGCGCTCTTGGGGCCATCTTGGAGGAGATCTATCAAAGAAGGGGGGGTTCGTATATTAGCGCTGCCCCTCTAGAGTGCCTCGAATCGCCTCTGAGGCCCTTCTTGAGGCCAGAATCTTTCCAAAACCTGAAGAAAAAAAATGTTTTTGTAGCTTTTTCGCTCTTGGAGCCGTCTTGGGCCATCTTGGGAGCCTCTTGGGGCCTCTTGGGGGTCTCTTGGGAGCCTCTTGAAAGCCTCTTGGGGGCCTCTTGGGGCCCTCTTGGGGCGCTCTTGGGGCGCTGTTGGGAGCCTTCGGGGCCCTCTTCGGGCCATCTTGGAGGAGATCTATCAAAGAAGGGGGGGTCGTATATTAGCGCTGCCCCTCTAGAGTGCCTCGAATCGCCTCTTGGGCCCTTCTTGAGGCCAAAGTCTTTCCAAAACCTAAGGGAAGTCAATATTGTGTGCTTTTTCGCTTTTCGCTCTTGGAGCCGTCTTGGGCCATCTTGGGAGCCTCTTGGGGCCTCTTGGGGGTCTCTTGGGAGCTTCTTGAAGGCCTCTTGGGGGCCTCTTGGGGTCTCTTGGGCCCCTCTTGGGGCGCTCTTGGGGCGCTCTTGGAAGCCTTCGGGGCGCTCTTGGGGCCATCTTGGAGGAGATCTATCAAAGAAGGGGAGGTCGTATCTTAGCGCTGCCCCTCTAGAGTGCCTCGAATCGCCTCTTGGGCCCTGCTTGAAGACAAAATCTTTCCAAAACCTAAGGAAAGTCAATGTTTTGTGCTTTTTCGCTTTTTCGCTCTTGGAGCCGTCTTGGGCCATCTTGGGAGCCTCTTGGGGCCTCTTGGGGGTCTCTTGGGAGCTTCTTGAAGGCCTCTTGGGGGCCTCTTGGGGCCCTCTTGAGGCGCTCTTGGGGCGCTCTTGGGAGCCTTCGGGGCGCTCTTGGGGCCATGTTGGAGGAGATCTATCAAAGAAGGGGGTCGTATATGAGCCTTGCCCCTCTAGAGTGCCTCGAATCGCCTCTTGGGCCCCCCCAAGAGGCCAAAACCTTTTCAGAACATAGGACAAATCAATGATTTGTGCTTTTTCGCTCTTGGAGCCGTCTTGGGCCATCTTGGACGTCCCAACGACCCGCGGAACCCCTCGTCCAGGTCGGTGGGGAGGGGTAAGGGGAGGGGTAAACCCCTCCCTGAAGGGAAAGAAGGGGGTTGGCAGAGGAAACGCTCTAGACCACCTACGCCCTAAACGGCTGGTGGGACTTCTCAGAAGCCGCGAGGGCTGCTGAGGAGTCCCGCCGCCTTCTGCGAAGGCCTTCTCCCTCTAAGTTCCCCCCCTTCGCCCGCCGCCGAACAGGGCAAAAGCATGAAAGACATCGAGAAAAAAATCGGGATGCTCGCCCACACGATGAGACACAAGACACATCGAGAGGATGCTCGCTGACTCGTAGGGCCATCCGCTGGCCGGGGGCAGGCGACCCACCGCTCCGTCCTGGCATCGCTCGGACGTGTGCATTTTTTTCTCGGCGAGAACCGTCGAGGAGCATCCTTGATCCCTTGGCGAAAAAACCACGCACGAAACCGAAAAAAAACATGGAATGGACGTCCGAGCGATGGCGAGTCCGTGGCCGCGGGGGACGTGCGCACGCCGCCCGTGCCGCTTCGCGCCCGCCGGGGGAGGGCAGGCAGGCAGGACGGCCGCCTCTGGGCCGCGGCCGCACAACAGGGTGCGAGGCCACCGCCGCTGCGGCCCGCCGTCGCAGGGCTTGGCCTGGAGGAGGTTGAGGTGGAGGGGGGGAGGACGGCGTTGTGATGGGGGTCCGCGGAGGAAGCTGTACCCATACCTCCACCCTTCGCCCGTTTTCCCCCTTTCGGGCCTCCCCGGAGGCCCCCTCGCTGTTATTTTGCTGGATTCGCCTCGAGGTTCTGATCAGGACGCACCCCGGGAGAGGCCCGGGGAGTAGCGGCATCGAACCTTTGGGCTTCCCCAGGGGGGGGGGGCTAAGCTGGCGAGGAGGAGTTGCTGTAAGCGGGCGCGGGCTCGCACAATTTTCGCGAAAAGGCGAAAAGTCGTAACGTTTACGACTTTTCGGCTTTTCGGGTTTTCCCGTTTACGCGAAAAGTGCATTCGGGTTGCACATGTCGGCGCCAGGGCTCAGTGCTCTTCCCTCCGAGGCGGGATTTGTACATGACCGCCACCCGGAGGATCCATTTTCGGGGACCCCGGCAGGCGGTGGACATGGACATGTTCAGGCTCCCAGGGGCCAAAACGTGTCCATCTCCACCGCCCGCTGGGGCACCAGGACGTTGCGCCCTAGGCGGTGGATCTGGATGAACCCCCGCCTCGCATTCTTGCCGCCGATTCAGCGCCGCCGGGCCGCTCCACGCTGCCACGTTTGGCAGCGCCCTGCCGCCTCGGCGGCGACGGGCCGCCTCGCCGCCGGGCCGCGTCGCGGCAGACCTTGTGTGGTCGACGGCGGAGCCGTGGCCTCTCTCGCGGCGCGGCGGCGTCCGGGGCCTCGGGCACGGCGGCGGAGGACAGTGGCGGAAGCTGGGCGAGGGCCGGCATTAAGTCGGGCATGTTCTCTACGGGAGGCATCTGCAAAAATCGTGGAACAAATGGTCTGGGGACGATATGTTTGATTATTGTTGGTCCTGTTGGTGTGTTTTTAGAATTCTTCCGCTCAAAATCCGCCTGTAGGGGGATATGCCCGACCTAAGGCTGGCAAAGTCGTGGCTGCCAAAAGGGTCTCCCCGGAAGATCAAAACAAGTGCCCAGAATACAATTCAGCGCGCTAAAGTGAACGGGCTGCCTCCCGGAAGAAGAAGAAGAAGAAGTAGAAGCAGTTTCCCGGAGCTCCGTTTTAGCAGCCACGGGTTTGCCAGCCTTCGCCTGGCGTCTGATACTGGCCCCTCAGTGTCTCAGCATGTCTCCGGGCGCTTGGGCGAGGAGACGCCAGCTGAAGTGGGGCTCGGGCGCGGCGTACCTGCTACACAAGCATGTGGCGGACTCACAGCACGATGCTTGCCCAAGGGGACCTCCAAGAGGACCCCGAGAAGCAAACATATGTTCTCTCGTTCAGGCAATCTTTTTTTGTTGGCCAGATTCGTTCCTGAAGTGAACGATGTCTACGACAACCCAAGAGACCCCCAAGACGGCCTGAGAGGTCCTCAAGGCAGCCCCAAATCAGCTTATGAGGGCTGTAAGACGGCTCAAGAAGTTCGCGAGACAGCCCAAGAGAGACCCGAGAGCGGCCCGAGAGGGGGAAACCGAGCTCGAATTTCGAGCTTCCCGCCCCCGCAGGAGCCCCGAGGCCGCCGACAGGTTCCGAAGAAACTCCCATGGCCAATGGAGGGCCCAACTGCGGCGGTAGTTTTGTTGTTAGTCGTTCACTTGGCTTGTGTCGTTCACTTGGCTTGTGTAACCCGGCAGCGCGAGTCCAGCTTGTGTACCCTGCGGGGCTTCTCTACACCTGGGCGGCGCGCGCCAGTCTGAGCAGAGGTCGCCGTAGGTCGGCTTCTGATTTTCCCCACTGCGCACACGTCGTAGCTTCTTTGACCGCCTCGCCTCGCCGATGTTCGTCTCACTTTTTCGATTGCAGCTTTCCCCAACCATGGTTATCCGCTTCTCCTTCTCCCAAGCGTGATCCCGCAGATCTGGGCAGCGCGCATCCCCATTTGTTTCTTCTCAAGCGTGACCCGGCAGATCCGGGCGGCGCACATCTCCATCACTTCCGAAGCGTGACTTCGCAGAATTGGGCAGCTCGCATTTCCTTCTTCTCTCAAGCGTGATCCCGCAGATGTGGGCAGCGCGCATCCCCAATTGTTTCCTCTCAAGCGTGACCCGGCAGATCCGGGCAGCGCACATCTCCGTCTCTTTCCAAGCGTGACCCGGTAGATTCTGGCAGCGCGCATTTCCTCTTCTCCCACGCGTTACCCAGCAGGTTTTGGCAGCGCGCATCCTCATCTGTTTCCCCTCGAGCGTGACCCGGCAGATCCGGGCAGCGCACATCTCCATTTCTTTCCAAGCGTGACCCGGTAGATTCGGGCAGCGCGCCAGACTTTGATGACGACACCGTGGTTCATCGTGTATAAATATACCTGGCAGTGGCGAAGCTGAGGATACCGAGCGCTTGGCAGCACCGCAGCATGCCATTTGGACATGCCCAGCGAAAAGGAGGGAGGGAGTGGAGGCGGCCTTGGGAGTGAGGGCTGGCCGGTGCGGTTGTGGGTGCTGTGGGCGGTGCCATGGGGGGGGGAGATGGGGACAGGGGACCCTGCATGAGTTCCACGTAGTGTTTGGTTCCCTTTGGCCACACTTGCTCGCTTGTGCGATAGGCACTTGTGGCTCCCCCCAAATTAATATTGATGGCGTGGCGACGGGGGGGCGTGAGTGGACAGAAATATTCGAACCCCAAAGCACCGCCTTTACTGAAATCAACATTGATATCGGGGGCGCGGGGGTGATTTAGAATCTTCCTCGAATGTGAGAGGGTTCGAATATATTGTCCATCTACTGTCGCGCCTCCGACGTGCTGCCAGGTCGTCCGAATGGTCGTCAAGCTTGGCGCGTTGCCGCTTGTTTTAATCGATGGCAAGCGTGTGCGCGCCTTTTTTCCGTGACACCGCGATCAGCAGTTTGCCGATAGTGAATAGAGGAGTCGAGGGTGAGCAGGAGGGATGGTGGCAGAAGAAGCCGGAGCAGTCGGTCGGTGGAGTAGGCAGGGGACGGCCAGCCAGCGGGGGCGCTGTGTTGCGTGCCAGATTTTGTTGCCAGCGCTTCACGCGCGAGTCAGGCGTAGCGTGCTGCCGCTTGTTTGAATCGATGTCAAGCGTGTGCGCGCCTCGACTCCGTGGAACCGCGTTCGGCCGTCTCCGTTGCAGACGGTGGACGGAGCAGGTCAGGGTGAGCAGGAGGGATGCTTCGGAAAGGAATAATACATGTAAGAATTCAGACACCGAAATTCAAGACTGAATGGTCCTCTGGTACTCTCTTTTTCTCTCTCTCTCTCTCTGTCTCTCTCTCTGTCTCTTTCTCTCTCTCTCTCTCCCTCTCTCTCTCTTCTCCTCCTCCCCCTGGCGCCCTGAACTTGTTTATCGCTGGGGTTGATTACCCTGGGAAAACTAAGCACATGAGCTCCCCTACACGAGCAGATGACAATTTTAATTTTCATTGAGTGTTTACACATTAAAACTAATAAGTTTTGAACTTTGGATGTTTGCTTCTTCCTTTTCCTCTGCTTCTCCTGCTTTTCCTCCTTCTCATCCTTCCTTTCTTTATTTTCTTATTTCTTTAGTTATCTCTCTCTTTCTATTTCTTTTTCTTCTTGTCCCCCTGGCCCCCTAAACTTGTTTACCGCCGCGGTTGATTATCCTGGGAAAACTAAGCACGTGTACGAGCAGATGAACATTTCAATTTTCATGAAGCGTGTATATATTAAGTGTGATAAGTTTTGAATTTTGAAGTTTGCTTCCTCCTTTATCTTCTCCTCTTGCTCTTTCTCCTCCTTCTCATCTCTTCCTCCTCTTCCTCCTCTAACTACTTTCTCTTCCTCTTCTTCTCTTGTTATTTCTTTTCCTTCTCGTCTCCCTGCCCCGCTGAACTTGGTTATCACTGGTATTGATTATCCTGGGAAAACTAAGCACATGAGCTCCCCTACACGAGCAGATGAACATTTTAATGTTCATTGAGCGTTTACACATTAGATTTAATAAGTTTTGAACTTTGGATGTTTGCTTCTTCCTCTTCCTCTGCTTATCCTGCTTTCCTCCTTCTCATCCTTCTCCTCTTTCTTTTCTTCTTTCTTTATTATATTTTTCTTTCTATGCCATTTTCTTCTTGTCCCCCTGGCCCCCTGAATTTGTTCATCGCTGCGGTTGATTATCCTGGTACGAGCAAATAATTTTAAACGTTGCCACCGCTGGTTTATCTAACCTAGGCCTACCCCTAGGGCCTGTCACTAGGTCTAGACCTACCCTAGAGCCTACCCCTAGGGCCTACCCCTAGGGCTTACCCTTAGGATTCCCCCTAAGGCCTACCCCTAGGCCTACCCTAGGCCTACACGCCTAGGCCCATTTCTAGGCTTACCCTGGGCCTACCCCTAGAGCCTACACCGAGGCCTACCCCAGGCGTGCCCCTGGGGCCTACCCCTAGGCCTACCCTAGGCTTACCCCTAGGGCCTATTTCTAAGCCTACCTTGTAGGGCCTAACCCTCGGCCTACACGCCTAGGCCCTACACCTAGGCCTACACCACTAGGCCTACACTAGGATTACCATAGGGCCTTCAGTAAGCCATATCGGAGATGCGCGCGCGCGGGTGACCCGGCCACCGCGCGCGCGCGCGCCTCTGAGCTTCACTTCTATATTCTTCACCATTAATATATCAACATTCGATAATAGTAAAGGTTTGAGGAGGCTTCGAGCGAAACGAGCACACTTGTCGA